GTATACACACACACACACACACACACACACACACACACACACACATATACTATATCTTCTTTATCCATTTATCTGTTGATGGACCCTTCCTTAGGTTGCTTCCATATCTTGGCTATTGTAAATAATACTGCTATGAACACTAGGATGCAAGTATCTTTTCAAATTAGTGTTTTCATTTTCATCAGATATACACCCAGGAGAAGAATTGCTGGATATGATAGTTCTCTTTTTAGTTTTTGGAGGAATCTCCATACTATTTTCCATGGTGACTGCACCAATTTACATTCTCAATCTTGTACTAGGGTTCTCCTTTCTCCACATCCTTGCCAACGTTTGCCATTTGTACATTTTCTGATGATAGCCAATCTGATAGGTGCGAGGTGATCTCATTGTGATTCTGATTTGCATTTCTCTGATGACTAGCAATGTCGAGCATCTTTTCATGTGCCTGTTAGCCACCTGTATATTTTCCATGGAAAATATCTCTTTAGGTCTTCTGCCCACTTTTAATTGGGTTGCTTGTTTTTCAGATATTGAGTTGTATGAGATATATATATCATATATATATATGATATTAACCACTTATTAGTCATATCATTTGCAATTATTTCCCTCATTCAGTAGGTTGTCTTTTCATCTTGCCAGTGGTTTCCTTTGCTGTGCAAAAGTTTTTTGAGTTTAATTAGGTCTCATTTGTTTATTGTTTCTCTTGTTGCCTTTGCCTTAAGAGTCAAATCCAGAAAGATATTGCTATGATTCATGTCAAAGGGCATTCCGTCTATTATTTTTTCTAGGTTTTTATGGTTTTCAGACTTACATTTAGGTCTTCAATCCATTTTGAGTTTGTTTTTGTATATGATGTGAGAAAAATGTTCTAATTTCAGTCTTTTACATGTAGCTGTCCAGTTCTCCCACTTATTGAAGAGACTATCTTTTCCTCATTGTATATTCTTGCCTCCTTTGTCATAGATTAAGTGACCATAAGTGCATGGGTTTATTTCTGGGTTCTGTATTCTGTTCCATTGATCTATGTGTCTATTTTTGTGCTATTACTCTCTAATATTAGGAAAAAGACAAGGATGCCCACTCCTCACCACTTCTATTCAACATCATATTGGAGGTCCTAGTCACAGCAATCCGACAAGAAAAGAAATAAAAAGAATCCAAACTGGAAAGGAATATATAAAACTGTCACTATTTGCAAATGACATGATACTTTATATAGAAAATCCTAAAGTCTCCACCAAACAAAAACAAACTAGTAAAACTAATAAATGAATTCAGTAAAGTGGCAGGAACATGATTAATATACAGAACTCTGTTGCTTTTCTATATAATAATAATGAACTATCAGAAAGAGAAAACAAGAGAATAATCCCATTTTAAATCACATCAAAAAGAACAAAATAACCAGGAATAAACTTAATGAAGGAGGTGAAAGATTTATACCATGAAAACTATAAAACTCTGATGAAGGAAACTGAAGATGACACAAAGAAATGGAAAGATATCTCATGTCCATGGATTGAAAGAATTAATATTGTTATAATGCCCATACTACCTAAAGCAATCTATAGATTTAGTGCAATCCTTACACAAATATCCATGACATTTTCCACAGAACTAGAACAAACAATCCTGAAATTTATATGGAACCACAAAAGTCTGTGAATCGCCAAAGCAATCTCAGGAAAAAAGAACAAAACTGAAGGTATCACAGTCCCTGATCTCAGACTAAACTATACTTGTCTTCCAGCATATTCACGGCGATAATTAAGCAGATAAGTTAATCCCGGGTCATGTACACAGGAGAAGATCCCTTCTGATTTTTTTCTCACGTCATCACTCATTCTTGGGTGGCCAACTGATTGTAACATCACACACCTACTTCCGTCTGGTCACTGGAGTAACTCAACAGTGGGAATTTCAGCTCCATGGCAAACAGCTTAGGGTCTCAAGAGAGCTCAGAATACCAGCAGCTTCACTCCTACTTACTCTTTCAGGGCAACAGGCTTGCCTTTCTCTGCTTCCTTCCTCAGGTTTCTCACCAACACATCTCCATATTGGCCAATGATGGGGAACATCTAGATACAAAATACATCATCCAAAGTTAAACATGGAGACTCAAGTCCTAGAAGGACCTGGTTTTCCCCAGCATGGGACAGTAAGTGACATTTTACAAAGAATTTTATAATGTCTCTTCTAGGACATAAAGATAAGGCAATTTTAGGAAACTCAAATTCCTCAGATTCCTCCTTGGAAAGGGACTGTGATCTTATTTTCTACCTTATTCTTTAAGTTTCTAATAGCAAGTCCTATTCTTTCCTTACCTCCTTGAGCTTTCCACTGGTGAAGGCTGGAGACAGCAATGTTCGTATTCTCTTCCATTGTTCATCTTTAGCCTGAGAGATGGCATTTTTCAGAATTCCCACTGGACCAAAAGACTAGAGTCGAAAGCAAAATATATTTTACCCTACATAAGTTTTGGAGATCTCAACAGCTGTGGAAAATTTGTTAAATGGGAAAAATTATTCAACAAATATTTAGTGACTGTTACTTACTACCAGGCCCTATGCTAGATGCTCAGTAAATAGACACCATAAGTATCTAGGTTCCTTTGAGGGTAGAAGAGATATCCAGTCACTTGATGGGGTTTCCAGTCTTTGTATTCCAATCTCTTTTTAAATAAAAATATCCCATGTGGTAGGGAAACTTCTTCCAGGGGAACAGAAAGGAGTAAGACCTCGTTCATCCTCCTGGGCTGTGCAAATTAGAAAGGGATTGGTAACAGAGAGCCAGATAGCCTTGGAAAACTGTATTTTGCCTCAGACTGTCTTTACATATATCTACCGTCTGAGCAAATAGGAAAAGGGATGTGCTGATATGATGATTTTTTAAAAAATAGTAGTTAATATGCAAAAGATTAGGAATCTATTTGCTATTCTGAAAAATTTTGCAGTGACATGGGACACTTTTTTCTCTATACTTTTCCCACAGGGAGAAAAGAAAAAGATAATTCTATTTCTCAGCTTGGGTAAGGCCTATCAAGCTAACCTGTTTGAAAATTCCCTCAATCTTTAAAAATTACATTTTGTTTTAAAATAGATATCTCCAAAATTGATGGGAACACCGTAAAATTAGGAGACTTTAACACTCCATTAACATCATTGGACACATCTTCCAGACAGAAAATTAATAAGGCAATGGAGATATATAATAGAACAGTTACACTTGGTTGATATTTTTAGGACATTACATCCCCCAAAACCAGAATACACATTCTTTTCAAGTGCGCAGAAAACATTCTCTAGGATAGACCACATACTCGGGCACAAAAGAAGCCTCAGCAGATTTAAGAGGTTAGAAATTATTTCAAGCATCTTTTTTGATCACAATGGCATGAAACTAGAAATCAACTACAGAAAAGCAAACAAGAAAAAAATGACTACATGGATTCTAAACAACCTGCTACTAAAAAACCAGTGGGTCAACAATGAAATCAAAGAAGAAATTTAAAAATACCTTGAGACAAATGACGATGAAAACACAACCACACAAACTCTGTGGAATTCAATGAAAGCAGTCCTAAGAGGAAAGTTCATAGTGATACGGGCCTTTCTCAAAAGACAAGAACAATCTCAAATAAATAACCTAACCTATCACCTAAAAGAATTAGAAAAAGAAGAACAAACAAAACCTAAAATCAGTAGAAGGAAAGAGACAATAAAGATCAGAGAGGAAATAAATAAAATAAAGATTTAAAAAATAATAGAAAAAAATCAATCAAACCCAGAGCTGACTTTTTGAAAGAGTAAACAGAATTGACAGACCTCTGGCCAGGCTCACCAAAAAGAAAAGAGAAAGGACACAAATAAACAAATAAGGCTAGGAAAATGGAGAGATTACAACCAACACCACAGAAACACACAAAAAAATTAGAGAATACTATGAACAACTATATGGAAAAAAATTGGACAGCATAGAAAAAATGGAAAAGTTTCTAGAAACATACAATCCACCAAAACTCAATCAAGAAGAAATAAATCACTTAAACAGACTGATCACTAGGAATGAAATAGAATTAGCAATAAAAAACAAAAAACAAAAAACAAAAAACCTCCCTACAAACAAAAGTCCAGGACCAGATGGCTTCACTGGGAAATTCTACCAAACATGCAAAGAACTCATATCAATTCTCTCAAACTCTATCAAAAAATTGAAGGGGAGGGAACACTTCCAAACTCATCTATGAAGCCACCCTGATACCAAAACCAGACAAAGACACTACCAAAAAAAAATTACAGGCCAATATCATTGATGAACATAGATGTAAAAATCCTCAACAAGGCGCTTTCTGGTCAAGATGGCAGAGTAGTAGGACCATGAGCTCACCTTTCCTCATGACTACAATAATATCACAACTGATTGCTAAACAACCACCAAAAAAAAAAAAAGAACTGGGACCTTGCAAAAGAAGATCTTCAACTGGAGAGAAAAGAAGGAACCACAGAGGGACAGAGTGAGAGTTCTGAGCCCCACATCAGGCTCCCCAGCCTGGGGTTCCAGCATTGGGAGGAGGAGACCCCCAGGACATCTAGTTTTGAAGGCCAGTGGGACCTAACTCCAGGAAACCCATGGAACTGGGGGAAACAGAGACTTCATTTGCTTGGGAAGCATACACAGAAGCTCGTGTACACCAGGTCCAAGGGCAGAGACAGTGATTTCATAGGAACATGGGCCAGATCTGCCTGCTAACTTTGGAAAGTCTCCTAGGAAGGGAGGGGATGGCTGTGGCTCACCCAGGGAACATAAAAGCTGGTGGCAGACATTCCAGGAGTGTTCATCTACATGAGCTTTTCTAGAGGCTAACATTTTGATTAGATCATTAGCACTAAGACCTAGCACCATCCAAAAGCCTGTAGGCTTAAGTGCTGGGAAGCCTCAGGCCAAACAACAGACTGGGTAGGAACATAGCCCCACCCATCAGCAGACTTCCTGAGCCACACAAATGCCTCTAGGCACTGCCCTAGACATGGCCCTAGCCACCAGAGGTCGAGGACCAAGCTTCACGCAGCAGTGGGCAGGCACCAGCTCTTCCTGCCAGGAAACCTACATAAGCCTCTAGTCCAGCCTCATCCACCAGGGTGCAGATACCAGAAATAAGAAAACAACAATCCCAAAGCCTGTGGAAGGAATCCACAAACACAGGCCAGACTACATTGGGACCAGCTGGACCCTGGCCCTTGGGTGACAAGAGAGGAGTGTACTGCTGGGACACATAGGACATCTCCCACAGAAGGCCACTTATCCAAACTCAAGAAACATAACTAAACTAAGCTATCTAAAAATACAAATAGAAAGACAGACAACATGAGGCAGCAGAGAAATATTTTCCAGGCCAAGACACAAGAAAAAATTCCAGAAGAAGAAATAAGTGATGATGCAATAGGCAATTTATCCAAGAAGAGTTTAGAATAATGATGGTGAAGATGTTCAGAGAACTCAGAAGGAGTATAGATGCACATGGGGAAGTTCTTAGTAAAGAGTAGGGAAATATAAAGAATACCCAGAGTTGAAAAACAAAATTATGGAAATAAATAACACACTAGAAGGAACTAAGAATAGACTAAATGAGGCAGAAGAGTGGATCAGTGAGCTAGAAGACAAATTAGTGGAAATCACTACTGTAGAACAGAAAAGAGAAAAAAGAATGAAAAGAAATGATGATAGTTTAAGAGAACTCTGGGACAACATGAAGTGCACTGATATTCACATTATAGGGGTCCCAGAAAGAGAGAAAGGATCTGAGAAAATTTTCAAAGAAATAATAATTGAAAACTTCCCTAACTTGGGAAAGGAAACAGTCACCCAAGTCCAGGAAGCACAGAGAGTTCCACAAGGGATCAACCCAAAGAGGAACACACGAAAGCACATAGTAATCAAATTGACAAAAATTAAGGATAAGGAGAAAATATTAAAATCAGCAGGAGAAAAGCAATGCATAACATACAAGGGAACTCCCATAAGATTATAAGTTGATTTTTTGGCAGAAATTCTACAGGCCAGAAGGGAGTGGCATGATATATTTAAAGTGACAAAAGGGAAAAACTTATAACCAAGAATACTCTATCCAGCAAGGCTCTCATTCAGATTTGATGGAGAAATCAAAAGCTTCACAGATAAACAAAAGCTAAAAGAATTCAGCACCACCAAACTAGCTTTACAGCAAATGTTAAAGGAACTTCTTTAGTCATCAAACCACAAGAAAAGAGAACAAAAAGAAGAAAGAGGGGGAAAAAAGACTTAACAAAAGCAAACCCAAAACAATTAACAAAATGGCAATAAGAAAATATGTATCGATAACTACCTTAAATGTAAATGGATTAAGTGCTCCAACCAAAAGACACAGACTGGCTGAAAGGATAAAAAAACAAGATGCATATATATGCTATCTACAAGAGACTCACTCCAGAGCTAGAGAGACATGCAGGCTGAAAATAAGGGGATGGAAAAAGGTATTCCATGCAAATAGAAACCAAAAGAAGGCTGGAGTAACAATACTTACATCAGACAAAATGGATTTTAAAATAAAGACTGTCACAAGAGACAAAGAAGCACACTACATAATGCTCAAGGGATTAATCCAAGAAGAGGATATAACAATTGTAAATATACATGCACCCAACATAGGAGCACCTTAATATGTAAGGCAATTTTAACAGACATAAAAGGAGAACTCAACAATAACACAGTAATAGGGGGGGACCCTAACACCCCACTTCCATCAATGGACAGACCATCCAGACAGAAAATCAATAAGGAAATACAGGTCCTAAATGACACATTAGGCCAGGTGGAGTTAATTGATATCTATAGAGCAATCCATCAGAAAGCAACAGAATACACATTCTCAAGTGCACATGGAACATTCTCCAGAATCAACCACATGTTGGCCCAAAAGGCAACTTGTAGTAAATTTAAGAAAATTGAAATTGCACCAGGCATCTTTTCTGACCACAATGCTATTAGGTCAGAAATCAACTACAAGAAAAAAAAAAAACTGAAAAACTGCAAACACATGGAGGCTAAATAATACGCCACTAAACAACCAATGGATCACTGAGGAAATCAAAAAATACTTTGAGACAAGTGAAAATGGAAACACAATGATCCGAAACCTCTGGGATGCAGCAAAAGCAGTTGTAACAGGGACGTTTATAGCGACACAAGCCTACCTCAGAAAAAAAGAACAATCTCAAGTAAACAACCTCAACTTACCCCTAAAGCAGCTGGAGAAAGAGGAGCCAACAAAACCCAAAGCTAGTAGAGGGAAAGAAATCGTAAAGATTAGAGCAGAAATAAGTGAAATTTCCTTTCAGATATAAGATGAAAATAAATAAATATGTTTTGATGGTGAAACACTGAATCCTCCGAGATCAGCCAGGGAAAGATGTCCACTCTCTCACTCTTACTCAAAATCCTAAGTCCTCACTAGTGCAGCAACGACAAGAAGAAGAAATAAAAGGCAGGTAGATTGGAGAGGAAGAGACAGAAGTGTTCCTATTTACAGCTGACATAATTACCAATATAGAAAATCTCAAAGAATATAAAAAGAAAACCACTATAACTAATAAATGATCTCAACAGGGTTGTAGGACATGAGACCAACACACAAAAATCAACCACATCTCTATATGGCAACAATGAATATGTAACAACACATTAGAAACACAATACCATTTACAATCACTCCAAAGAAAATAAAATAATTTAGGAAAAAATATAACAAAACATGTACAGAATCTCTATGCAGAAAACTACAAATGTTGTGAAAATAATCAAAGAAAACCTAAATATAATAGAGAGACATTCTGTGTTCATGGATTGAAAGATGTGACCTAGTAAAAATACAGATTTTCCCCCAAATTGATCTATAGGTTTAATTCAATTCTTATTCAAATCTTAGCAATTTTTTGTAAACATACATAAACTTATTCCAAATTTGTATGGAAAGAGAAAGGACCCACAATAGCTAAAACAATTTCTGAAAAAATAAAGTAGGAGGAATGATCTATGTGCTAAGACATACTATATAGCTCTAGGAATCAAGATTGTGGGGTGGAGGGATAGATACATAGATCAATAAACAGAATAGAGAGTGAGAAATAGACCCGCATAAATAGGCCTGACTGATTTTTGACAATGGTGCAAGAGCTATTCATGGAAGGAAGGGAAGTCTTTCCACAAATGGTGCTGGAGCAACTTAGACATTCACAGGTGAAACAAACAAAAACAAAAACCCATGACCTACACTTCACACATTATACAAAACTTAACACCAAACGGATCATAGACTTAAATATACGACAGAAAACTACTTAACGTTTAGGAAAAAATGGGAGAAAATCTTCAGGATCAAGGGCTAGGTTAAGAGTTTCCAGGTTTGACACCAAAGTTACCACCCATAAAAAGGAAAATTGATAAACTGGCCTCATCAAAAAAAATTTTAAATATGTTTTCTCTGCTAGAAACCCTGAAAAGAAGAAAAGACAAGCTACTCACCATGACTGTAAAAGAACATAAGGAGCCTTGTGGGAACGAAACAGGTCTGCATACTGAATGTGGTGGTAGTTCCCCAAATCTACACATATAATACATTTTCATAGAGCAACACACACACACACAGACACAAATGAGTGCATATGAAACTGATGCAATCCGAATAAGTGTTGTGGTAGTATCAATGTCAACTTCTTGCTTTGATATTATACTATAGTTATGCAAGATATTACCACTGGAGGAAACAGGATGAAAGGTACATAACATGGGACCTCCATGTATATTTTTTCTTTTAACAACATCCTGTGAATTTATAATTATTTCAAAATAGATATTTAACAGATAAGTAAATTTTTAAATTACAAAAGGGGATGCTTACCCTCCGGTTTGTGAAGACAGAAAAACATTCTTTCACTAGTACTGTTTTAATCATGTCTGGATCTGTGATCGCCAACACAGGCTGTCGACCATCATAAAACCTGTGTCAGGAAAACAGAGCTGTTTAAATTTAATGAGCCAGTTTCTGTGGCTGGAGCCACACCTGAAATCCAGACTCTCATCCTAACATTACATAATCCGTATTCCTATAGATCATGACTAGAAATCCCATTAGAACATTGTTACATCTAAGTGGTGTGTACGTGAGAATTTCCCACACCATCCTCCATTATTTTTATAGGTTTAATATAGTTCATTAACAAAAAGGAAGTTAGGTTAGTTAATAATTGAAAGGAAGTAAATTATCCGAAAATTTAAAGATAAGGAGAGTCCACCTACTCAGTCATCTTTGAAGATTTGGCAAGAATAAAAAACGCATATGATGTCATAGCAGATGAAAACTGCAGACACAGTGATCATAAATATGTAGCAATGTGTCTGCAAATGGAAGGTTTGGAAAGCTCCACAAGCACGAGTAGGATTACGAACGAGTTCTTCACCCTATTTTCTAGAATTTGCTTACCTAGTTTATAATTTTTTAAAAATCTACTTAAAATAATATGGAGATATCCTTGGTAGCATCCAGTTTACAATAATTTGAAACAAAAGGACAAAGAGAATAAAGAAATTCAGAGGCACACTCATAATTCATTTTTTAAATATTTTCTTTTCATTACTTATATTTATGCTTATATATGGGTCCCAAGTAGGCCTGAGGCTAATGTAGGTGACGTCCCTTAGAAGCAGGGCAGGCCCACTTCTGACCCACCTACCACCCAAAGCTGACGCCTCATATATAATACATTCTAATTTGGCCTGATCTCCTGACTGTCAGAACGTCCACTCACGGGGACAGTTCGCCGGCGTGAGGTTTACTGTTAGTTAATCACACTGTCTTCTGACATTTTGTTTCCCACTCTCAACTATTTGCAATTCTAGAGCAAAATGGCAGGTTTTCTACACACCACATCTTCCTCCTTTGATTTCAAAGAGGAATTTCAAATGGTCTTGTGATCACATATAAAAATCAGTGAGAATCACTGCACTTCTCGCTGCCCATTTCCAAAAACACAGCGGCGATCCCGCGCTGCGTGTTCTTCTCGCCCCAGGATGACGTTGCCCTCTGGGGCCAGGAAAACTCAGCAGAGCCCTGCGGTTTCTGAGGACTTGACGAGAGAATAAGAGGTGCGGAGAGGTAGAGCTTCTCCCGCTTGCTTTTGGCAAACAAGCCCTGTATTTCGCCTCTCCCCTTCTCTCACCAAACCTCCAACAGCTGCGAAAGGTAACTGCCACAGCTGTCAGTCAAGGCCGCTCGACAAAGTCACTGAATCTGTCAGCCCACCAGGAAGCACACTGGGTTAGAAATATCCCACATTTCTTCAAAGTCAAAGGAATAGAGCAGGTGAAGCAATAATTGTGTACACGTCTATTGAAAAGTCTTGGCTTCAAATGTACAAAACAAAAACAAAAACAAAAAAAGAACCAAACTCCATACTTGTGGAGAAAGTTAAAAAAAAAAAAAAATGCTGAGCAGAAATGGTTTCTCCTTGGGTTTACCCGTATCCCTGAGACCTTTTTCAAAAGGGTATATTAAATGCAAATTTCAAAAAAGGTTTTTTTAGCTTTAATTAAACATGAATCTTGTGGGAAAGGGGCAATGACATGCATTTATAAGCACATATTAGAAGGGTCCGGAATCATGCAATTAAAGGCAACCTAAGGAAGGAAACATGGAGAAAAGAGGAAGAGCGAGACACGGGACAGAAGGTGATGCTGAGAGTCCCTGGGCCATCAAAGTCCAGAGAAAAGTGATGGCCTGCAGCTCTCCAGGCCTGACTCAGACTGCAGACCTGCACTCCTGGTGACCTCGGGGCTCCCTGGGAGAACAAGCTCCCAAAGCTGCACAACAGATGGTTTCAGCACAAGCAGCTCCGCACTGAGACCGCCCCCTTCACCGCAGGGCAGCGCCTCATCACGGCAAGCCTATCCCATGGAAGTTGCCGCAATACTCACCCCCACACTTTCCCATACTTTTTAAAACATTTACTGTCAAAATCCCAAAGACCCTGCAAGGAGAAACAAAATTAGATAATTAATATAATGCACTGAGTCCTACCTCTAATTCACGAAAATTCTCTTATTCAGACGTCTTAGGGGAAAGGAGAGAAAACAGATGAGATATTTGAAACTGATCACTTAAAATTACTCTTGAATTTTCTCTGAGTATCACAGATACTAAACACTTACCCCTGTCAGTGAATACTAAGTGACTCCTTGTCTTTCTGAAGTGTTTTTGCAAGAGCATGTGTTGTCTCTAAAAATCTCATAGCCCTCTAAACCCTCTACGGACTCGTGAGAAAACTGAAGCTGGGGGGAAGTCAGCGTGGCCTGTACCTACTTTCCTCTCCTAATTAAGCAGCCTCTTCATTTATCTCATGAGCCCTCTCTAGAATTCTAGCAGAAGGAAGAAGTTAAAGCACCAGTGACCTCTAATAGTCTAGCAAATGTAAATGCATCTAAGGCATGTGTGCTGAGTGGGAAAGTGAGTGAGTGAATGAATGACAAAGTGGTCTAGCCTTCTAGTGTTGCAGCTCAACATGGAAAAGATAAGGAGATGCCTCATTATTCTGCAAAGGACAATGCAATTAAGACACTTGCATGAGTTTTCACTTTTATAACTTTTAAAAAAACCCTTCCTGTCACTATGTTTCTGCTGTGGTATTTGATGGTTTAACTATGCAGAAGAAATGTGGGTCTTGGAGTGCATCCATTAAGGAGTTCATCTGGGGAAGGTGGAAAGGAAATTTTGCCTTTTCAGAAGGAACAAAGTTCAAGCAGTTCTTAGGTGGTAATGAGACAATGAAGGCTCAGGATGGAGAATGAGGATCTGAGGAACAAGCCTCAGGTCTGCGGGAAAGGAAGTCTGAGGCCAAGAGCAGCCAGCACACGAGGCTCTGCCCCTGGACGTCCGGGCACCGCTCCTGACCTTCAGCTCATGGGCCAGGCCCCAGTCGAGGAGGCGTCAGAGCTGGATTAGCATGAAGGCTGTGCTGGAAGTCACAGTCTGTATCACCTAGTACATTCCATTCAGCTAACTTTTTAATAATTTTGTCAAATCGCTTCCTCTCTAGTGATTTTGTGTAAGTGATTCTGCCTTATTTAAAAGGAAAAAACCCACAACTCATTTAGTGGTTAATTATCTGAAGTAAATAGACCACCACTTTGTCTAGTTATATCCACTCCCTGCTCAGACTCCTCTGAAGGCCAAGAAGTAAAGCAGAAAGCTCTTGTTCCATCTCTCAAGTCCCAAAAGATGTCATGGGGAGCAAGAGTGGGGGTAGAACATCGAAGAAACTGCAGAGGTTAGCAATTCTTGAGAGAATCCACGTATGTGCAAATTATCTGGTGCAAATCACTCAGGCTGCCTTAGAAATGGAAATGTCCAATAAAAAGGGTACCCGGGGGAAGGGTGTTGCTGGTAGAGTGGTAGAGCGCATGCTCAGCACCCAAGAGGTCCTGGATTCAATCCCCGGTACCTCGTCCAAGCGGAAATCAATGAAGAAATCTAATTACCTGCTCTTCAGAAAGCAAAAAAAGGGTACCCAGAGCTTACGCTACTAACAGGAAGGTGTGGCCCTAGTGTACACAGCTTAATGAGCCATGACCAGACACTCCCTTCATGCCTTTCTCCTAATAATTAGTAGGATTGAGCCTTCCTGAGAATGTGCACCTGGCAGAAAGAAGATCCTCTTCACGATGCTTACAGGTTGCAGCTTCAAGTCCTGTGCTGAACCAGCCAGAGAGCTGTGCTGTCTGACTGAGGCAAAACCTGAAGCTCCTAACAGGTGAGAGGAGATCCCTGGGGTCAAACTGGCTATGTGCTGGGTGGGGCCTATGATGCAATTTCTGCAAAGTGTGAAACCTCAGAACTTCCACCTGAAACAAGGCTTTCTTTTTTTTTAATGGAACTCAGCTGGAATTTGCCGCTATAGGAGGCAAAAGAGGGAATTCAAACAACACACACCTTTCTGTAGGCCAGAACATTTCCAAAATAAGGCAGAGGTGTCGGCCCAGGAATCCCCAGCTTCTTAAAAAGTCCATGTGAATAAGTCCCATAGCTGTAAAGTGAAAGAGAAAACCAAGTCACAGGAATGGTGGAATACAGCTACTGAGGCTGGCAGGTCCCTGACTCAGAACTGGCACAGTCAACCTACGGAGACAAGTAGGCAATGAATAAGAACAGCAACTCCAAAAGCAGTAAGAATGTTCACTCATTGTCTCCTTTCCCATTTTCACTGTGAGACCCACAAAAGGTAATGATGTTTAGCTCAAAGCAGCTAAAGTCTTCACGGTTCCAATCCTAGAGTGGATACATGATAAATGTTTACAATTTGAGAGCCCCTGAGATGTTTAGGTCATATTCCTCCAGAAAATTCATTCATATTTATTTAGTAAGTTGACACTTTCATGAAAAGATTCTCATTCAAGGCACAAATGGGAAACTTTTTTTTTCCGTTCCAAACACGAGATTTTGTTTAACTGCATCCACCCAATAACAGAGTTGCTGGGAGCCTGCCCCGACACTGCTCTTACAGTTTGCTTACAGACTTTTATGCTTTTCCTTCCCTCTAGGCCCTGGTCCCATTTTAGGATCTGATTCTTCTTAAATCTCTCTTCATAATCAGGCCTCAGAGAAGAATACTGTTTTTATTTCTGTAGAATGAAAACTGTGCTCAAGACTTCCATGACTGGCTAGATGAAACAAGAGTGGCATAATGTTTATTATTGTTGAAGGTGTGTGGTGTGTATATGAAGATTATTAATTCACTCTTGCTTCTTTGTGTATGCTTGACAGTTTTCATAATAAAACACGTAAAAAGTAAAAAAAAAAGAAAAAGATTTCCATTACCATCATAGAAATGTGAGCACATTTCAGCTACACCCAAGTCTCTGTTGTCAGGCAATTTGGCTGACTGAGCTACAGAGAAGGGTGATGGACCCCTGTGTTCCCTGAATGAAACTGTATAAAGGAACCAGTGACTAAAGGATCCATTTCCAGACTATCCTCCACTCATGGCATCTGGTCCTCCAACCTGTGAGACTCACCTGCTAAGCATAGTGCCCAGCACACTCATTTTTTTTGCAAGATGCTCAGTCACAAAGAAGTTAGTTTACTGCCTCTGTGCATCATCTATCTCAAAAACTCATTAAGGCTGGTGCTTCCGATAGGATGCAGTCCTGCAACTCATTTTCATTATTACGTGAGAAGTCACACAACTCAAGGTTCTGGATCTTTACAAGTCTGAAGTAAACAGACAACCACCACTTTGTCTCAGTTATATCCACCCCCTGCTCAGACTCCTCTGAAGGCCAAGAAGTAAAGCAGAAAGCTCTTGTTCCATCTCTCAAGTCCCAAAAGATGTCATGGGGAGCAAGAGTTGGGGTAGAACTCTGGTGTTACTGAGAGACGACAGAGTGGAGGAGAAAAGAGGCTGCCAGCAATCATTTTAACCACGAGTTGCTAGGCCTGCAAGGCTAACTCTGCAGAGGTAAATTAGGAAGGTATGGCTGAAAAGTGCGCTCTGTGTAAATGGTTCAACATGCCTTACAGGCACTCTCAGCTAAAAGCCTTCCAGCCTTCAGGTACCTTCCTGTGGGCAGCAAAAGGCGCATCACAAGACATAAAATGAGTAACCATAAAACATCCCACATTGGTTGACTAGGACCCTGTCTCTCCTTCTCAGGAGGTTAGGCTTTAAGGTAGTACAGGTTCAAATTTTCTGTACAAATCCAGTAATCCTATGATATGTGATAAAAAGAAACCCCCCAAATTACCCAGAAGGACCTGCGTTGGAAGGGCCCAAGGGGTACCCTAGCCAGGCCCAGCTTGGCTTTTGGACCCTCCTCCAGAACAGGTGGTGGAGGTGTGTACACTGACTGCCAAAAAGGAGGCAGCCTGGGCTAGTCCCACCCCAATTCCTTCCTCTGCCATCACAACCAGCGCAAATCAGTTTCAGCTTCTGAAATTTCAATGTTGCCAAGCAACTGAGTGAATGTGTCAGAACATTAGTCCCAAGGAATGATCTGGTCTAGTGTCTAACCTCATGATTCCATATCAAGGTAGAGGGTGGGCTGGGTGAATTCCTTCTAGCTCCTCTCATTTTGGTGGAGTAATGCTGCCCTGAGTACAAAGGAGAGGCTCACAATAAAGCGGATCATTTCTTTCTGTGTTTACATTGTGCTGGCCTAAGGAGGGCCTTGTCTACAGCTATTGACTTGTGGCTGCACCAGTGTCTTCTAAGGCAACAGTGTTGTTTGCCTGGTGGTGACCTTGTCTAGTGCCAGCCCCCATTGTCAGATGGATAACACATCATGTGACTTAGATTGTGCCCCTTCCCCCAGGCTTCAAGCAGATGAGATGCCAACCCTGCTGACCTCCTGTGGGGCCAGGTCTAAGGAGTATCTCTGGGAGGTCTGCTTTGAGGAGTGAAGAATATTCTCCCCCTCCATCCTGACCCCTCCCTGGATGCCTCTCACATCCTCACTGGTTCCCAGGCATGCTTACTCACCTGCACTGAGACATTAAAATAACCTGCTGGGCAGGTTTTTGTTTTTTTTTTTTGAATGCACCAAACACATTTGCATTTATTTTCTTTTTTTAAGCAAATAACAAAGACCCAGTTTACCAGCTTTACTTTTTTAAACCTAAGCTTAACATTACATATCGAAACAATTTTCAAAACTTACTAAGTTGCCAGCATTCATGCACAACTAGAAAACATCCTCAATTTATATTAACCCAGCAATGTGTTACCATTAACACATTAATGTCTTTCACTACTGAAAATACAGAAGAAAACTGGAGTTACTTTTGTGGAAGGTTCGTCCTGGCAATGTTAGCTTCACAGCAGGCTGACACTACTTGGCTCACGTTGCAAGCACGATGGGAAGCAGGCCCGTCCTGGTGTTAGTGTACGAAAGAGTCACGGCCGCCTTGAGTTACGTTTAATAAAAAGCAAAGCGTATACAGAGATTTACAACAATTTTAAAGACCAAAAAATGGACCTATCCTGTGGTCCCAACAATAAGCTCAAACATCTAAGACAAACAGGGCTCCGACGAGCTGTGTATAAACGCGCTAGATCAGGTACAGTTACATGGGAAGGCGAGTTCGTCTGAAACGCGCCAGTCCCCGGGGCGCCCGCTACACGGCACGTTCCTGGGCCGCGCGGGCCTGGAGCTGCTTGTTCTCCAAGCGCAGCAAGCAGCTGCTCCTTACCATTTATCGTCAAGGACTTGAACTGGCCGTTCTCTTCCACTTCCACTCTTTCCTGACCGTTCTCAACAATCCTCCTTGAAGTGCTTTTTCTGCCGTTAACCAACTTAGTAGAAGCTGATACAGATTTGTGGTTGCCCATTCCACCGCCACCGAATGCCGTGAAAGAAAAAGACGTGATGCCTCCATGACCTAGTGAACCAAAGGACGTGAATCCTGTATCAAAAGAAGAAAATCTCCCTCCAAAGGCAGGAAATCCACTGAAAGCGGAGAAGAACGACCCTGTGCCTCAGTTCCGGCTCCCACGCGGGCCCCTTTGATTCCCGAAGAAGTCCTCAAATGGGTCTTGGAAGAAGTCGAATGAAAATGGGTCCCTTCCACCAAAAAATTCCCTAAAGACGTCATCTGGGTTTCAGAATGTGAAGCCAAACTCAAACGGACCGTCAAAGTGACTTCCACCCCCTCGGCCACCGTCTAATCCTTCTTTGCCGTATCTGCCGTAGATGTCCCGTCTTTTAGCATCTGGTAACACCTCATACGCCTCAGCCACTTGCTTGCATTTTCCCTCCGCTTCTTCTTTCTTCTCAGGATTTTTATCTGGATGCCATTTCACGGCCAGTTTCCGATATGCCTTTTGAATGTCCTCGGCTGAGGCATGTCTGTGTACGCCTAGAACTTCATAGTAATCCACCACGTCTCAGCAGGCTGTTGGAACGAGTGCAAGGGCTCGGGACCGGCGGCGGAAGGCGCGGCGGGGTGGCGGCGGCGGCCCTCGCGCTTTCCTTTTCTGGGCAGGTATATTTTAAAACCTATACTATAGAGCATATTTGAATACTAGATTCATATTCTGGAGTTTACTGTAGAAGGGTGAATTTATTTACATGCCTTTGTAGTCATCAATACGGAAAATCAGCCCTTCAGAAAGAGCATGCTGGAAATACTCTTATATCAATAAAAATTATATTAAATAGAATGAAATTAAACCATATCAGTCAATTTTATAATATCATCAGACAGAAAATATGGTGCTACAATACCTTGAATTTCTAGTATTTCTTTTGAAGAATTAAAACAAGGCTTATATTATCTATGTCTATGTCATCATGATTTCCTAGACCTGATGAAAGTGAAATTGAGGTAGAAGTCAAATGTGATGTGAAGGGGGATGTCTACCTGCTTGTTGAAAATTACTCCTCTCCCAACCTGCTCCGTGATGCCAGGAGTCCTGGCATTGAAAGGAATTCCTCTGCTGGATGGTTTTGATTCATCCTCCTGTACTGTACTTAAAAGAGGGAAAAAAAAACACTTAAATTGGATTTTGAGGCTTGTGCCTTTGAAGGCTTAGCAGGTTTCATATCGCGGAGAAAATAAACTTATACAATGATACTAACATTTCCAGAGACTGGAAGAAAAGGTGAAAGAAACTAATACAATTTCAAGATTTCAGCCAAGTCTCCCCTGATCTAAAGATTTCTCATTTGGGGCTAGTTCTGCATAGTACAGGGTAGGTAAATTGAGTCTTAGAAAGGGAGTGCCAGGGAAGGGGGACAGAAAAGGGGGAAGAGCTGAGCCTGAAAGAGAATGGCAATCAGTCCCAGCCCTTCACAAAGACTGGGTGACCAGGAGCCTTGTGTAAATGACACCTGGGGAGGGAGAGAAGGGAGCAGGAACTCTGAGTGACACAGGGGCCAACCCTTCTACCCATGTCTTGCTGCAGATACAGAATGCAGAAGGTGAAGATAATGAGACAAAAACCCAAGTTTCTTCCTCCTGTCTCCAGGATCCCCAGAGCTTGGGAAGGGGTGAGCCATTTGTTTTTAATCTGCCTCTGCCAGACTCCGGTCGATTTGTCCGGCTATAGTAACAGGAACTTGGGAAAGGGGGTATGGGTTAACTCCACAACAGATCTGGGTAAGTTCAATAATAACTACCCTTTTGTTCAAAACACCCAAAGCTTCAACTACTTCCCTTCCATTTACTTTGAACTTCAAACAGCTAAGGGAAAGGGAGAACTGATTGGCCCCCAAGTCCAAGGTTACAGAGGAGACAAGCCTAGACAGTTACTCACAGATAGAGGAGCACCAGGCTGGTAGCCAGGAGAACCCACGTTTCTATGGAAAAGCTTGGGATCAGGTCCATGGCCACTGTCCTCCGTGACTCCCTCCTCCGAGTTCCCTCGCCGCTGTGTGTGCTGCTCTTCGCCTGTGAGCGTGGAGCTCCCCGTCCTGCCCGTGGAGATGCACCGAGGCTGGAGGGTTTATGTGCTGGGAAGGGGGTGTGGCTGGAGCTGCAGCCAGTAGGAGGAACACCTGTGCTCCACTTGCAGAAGCTCACTCTGCCTTAAGTTGGCAAAGCATCTTGGACACTCCAGTTTGGCCTCCCTTGAGTTCATATTCTGTAGAAAATCAATGAACAATTCAATCGGTGTCATCTGATGTAGGCCCAAAAGTTTCAGAAACTCAGATAAAGCCACTGGCCATATCTCCTCTATACTGTTCTTGTCGCCACTGCTGCCCGCACTCCAAAATACTTGAAATTCTTTAGACAAGTTAGGTCTACAGATCTTTACCCACGCAGTTTCCCCTGCCTACAAATACCCTTGCTGCCCCTGTGAGGTTCCTACTCATCCTTCAAATCGCAGCTCAGACAGAACCTGTATGTTAGAATCTTTCCTAACCAACCTCCTTGAACAGACATAACTATTTCCTCTCAAGGGACTTCTGTCCCCTGCACGCAATCCTGTTGTCTCCAGCATCACTGTTGGTTTCCACACCTAGTTCCCTTACCAGATTGAGAACTTGGGCAAACCCTGGGTGGGTATTAGTCACCATTATGTCTCTCCCTAGTACCTAGCAGAGTGCATTCTGCAGAGTGGGCATCCCAAAAGGTTGGTGGAATTGAGCTGCTAGAGGTAAGACCTCTGGGCACCTGCGTGCTCTTTCCCTGTGGTTCTTTGATGATCATGCCATCTTCCAGGATTGTTAATCCAGTAAGAGGGCCTGGCGGGACCTTGGCCACCATCACTGCACATGCAGGATCATCCATCAGGATTCTGTTGACAAGAGGCGCCTGAAGTTAGAGGCAGGACATGGACCAGATGATGATGGCTGCACCAAGGGATATCAATTCAGGCTGCTTCCTGCACAACCGACCTCAGAGGGTCCCGCAATAAGAACAAGCTAGATAGATTCTAGACCAAAGAATGGCCCCTCTCTTTGGAAAGGTCATAATCCAAGACCAACAGGTGTGAAGGGAGCAAAGAAAAGAAATCAGCCATGTGGGCCCCAACCACCTTATCCACCAGTGATGTGGCACGTACCATAGACAGGTCTCCAAAGGATGACATGAAGTTTTTCTCTGGGTCAAAGAGGGGTGGTCAGAGCAGATGGGTTCCCGCTTGTTGACAAGTGTGGAATTTTTCATTGGGTAGCGAGGGGCTGGTACAGAGGAGGCCTAGAGTAGCAGTTGGTGTCACCTGTGAGGCTCCCCACTGCATTCCTGATGGGAGAAATATGAGGACTGAACGTGGAGAAATTACACCAGCTCATTATCTTCACTCTGAACCATGTCCTGTGTTTGCTTGGCCCAAGAAACTATGGATTATGTGAAAAACAAAACCTCAAAGGTGATTAAAACTCAACAGAAACAGAAGACGTTTAACCTGCATGTGCATTTCTCTCCTCTATATTTTTTTCTCTTTCAGTCCTTCTGTAGAAAGTGATACTCATCTCTTGCCAACTCTTTCCATCCCTCTAGCCTGAAAGTCCCCAGGGCTGCCTGACACCAGCCTGAGTAGGTGGATGTCTCATTGGTAAAATGCAGTAGGTCCCAACTATCTCCCCCTCTGCCTTCTTTTATTTCCTTGGGAGCTTGCCATGCAGCATGAAATTCCTACCGTCATAGTTTGTCAACTTTGGGTTCAGGCTTTCTCCAGGAGGCACCTGTTAAAATCCATAGTTGCCACTAGAAATACAATGCATGAATGCATCCATTTATCTGTCCATTGATTCAAAGCCACCAGGTGAATGTCAGGTGCAGGTGATGCGCTGGGCTGTGGGCTGGAAGCCATACAGTCCCTGCTTTGGGAGCAGCCTCCCCATGGAGGGAGTGAGACATGCAACCATGCTCAGTATGTGGCACACCTTGGAAACTCTGGAATAATAGAGCCCCACCGAGACATAACTAAGGACAGAAGTGGCTGTAAACCTGAACACCAAAAGGATAGATGCGGGAAGCTGGAAGATGATCCCCCAAAGAAAGGAGAATAGAAAGTCCTAGGAGATCTGACACTTTTCTGCTCCATTTTGGCACCTTCTCTGGCTACCTGTAAACAAGGTCATGATACACTCCCCAGTTTATAGATGTAGAAAGTAAGGCTCAGTGAGTGCAAGTGGCTTCCCAACAACTACTGATCACAACAACAGAAATGCTGTAAATACGCTAATATGAAGGAAGCCAGGCAGGTCCTCTGCGGCTCTGAAATGCTGATACTCAACATTTGCCTTTTGGTGATAAGGGTCACTCTGGGAAATAGTGAGACTCAAGGCTGCCAAAGAATTTAGTTAAAATTCTGGTTTTGGTCTAGATGGCTACCCTGGACCCAGGAGCTTCCCTGTGGGTCTCCAGAACTAAGGGCTCCATCTCATCTCAGCAGAAATAAAGACACATGCAAGTCATGAGGATACTAAGGGTCTTGCCGTGTAAGATCTACCTCTCTATGTTTCCGACTGAGAGGTACAGAAATTATATCCAACATGGAAAGATTAGGGTGTCATCTGATAACTAGTTATAACCTAATTCACTCAACTAATCCCAAAGCCTTTCTTACTCTTCTTGGAAACACAACCCTTGTGGGAAGTATATGCTTTCCTCTTCCTCCAAAACACATACTCGGCTATGACGATTTTCTTACTAAGCCTAATATGACAATCACCTGCCCTGTTCACCTGCCCTGTCCAACTGGTTGGAATCTATCCCAGTGACAATAGGCTAGTCACTGCATGGGAATAAAATGTCCCCAGTACCTCTCCTACACAATGCAAGTGGCCTTGCTCTGCAAGGGGAAGTGGCAGAAGGCATGATCTTTGCACCCCTTCGATCCACAGCGGGGAGCACCTCACGTGACGGGGCGTGGCACTAAGACTGTTTAGGAAGACGTGTGCCTGAAGGGCGCCCCAACCCCACGTCTCTGTTCGGCTCACCTGTGTACTGGCGGGCTCGTCATGTACTTCAGAGCTCAGTTCTAAATGCTTAGGGTGCGGATATGGCTCAGACCCCGACAGTACTGAGGTTGAAGATAGAAACAAATGAAAAGGTAGATATAGTACAGCCAAGATATAGTAATTGTGCAGGTTTTAGAAACACAGAGTCCTCATCAAGGGTCACTGGCTTATCTGCTTTCTCAGTCCTCAGCAATCGGTCAGGGTTGAAAATCAAGTAGCACTCAGGAAAGCATAGACTCAGATATCAGTACACGTGAACAGGGTGTCAGGTCTCAGTGACACAAAAGGCACCATCAAGTCTGCTATTCCTGACCTTTCAGAGGTGGCTCCTTTTCTGAGAAGCCTGAGTTCTGGCTGAGAGAATTGCTCACAATGTGGGGAGGCAGTGTTGCTCAGGGTGATTTGTGTGTTAGAGTCTAATTTCACAGGCCACAATCTGGAGTGTAAAAAAAAATAAAATAAAAGCAAGATTATGTGTTTGAAATATCATATGCTATCACTTATATGTGGAATCTAAAAAAAATGACACATACAAACAGAAACAGACTCACAGACATAGAAAACAAACTTATGGTTACCAGGGGGAGACGAGGGGAGGGACAGATAAACTGGGAGTTTAGGATTGGCAGATACAAACTACTATGTACAGAATAGATAAACAACAAGGTCCTACTATATAGCACAAGGAACTACATTCAATGGCTTATAGTAACCTGTAATGGAAAAGAACACAAAATATTTGTGTGTATATGTGTGTGTGTGTATACATATATATAACCGAATCACTATGCTATATACCAGAAACTAATACATTGTAAATCAACTACATTTCAATTGAAAAAAAAGATTATGCATCTGTAACTCAACTCTCAAGCTCTCATTCTCAGTAGGGCACAACTTGACCTTGCTCTTTCGGGGTAACCAGGTGGTATCTAAGCTTGGTGGCTGGGTGCGGAGGCTGGTGGGGGAGTGGTGAGGTAAGCGGCAGGTCTGTGGACATCCTCTCTTGGCCTTGCAGGAGTTGGGCCCCTTGCCCCAGTGTCACTGTGTATTGACCGGGATCTATACCTGCTGTGTTCAGGCCATGTGCCAAGCTTAAATACAAAAGAGTCAGGATCTTGCCCTTACCGAAGGCAAGCAGGAGAGAGGGTCTAAACAAATAACCACACAAATAAATATTGAGCTATATGTTGGGACATGTGCTAGGAAATAAAAGAATCCCCTTTCTTAAGCTCCCTTAGCATTAATATAGTTGACCTTTCTTTCTTTCCTTAAACTCTGTTCTCCTTGAAAGATATGAAGACAACAGAACCAACAGGACTGGCGTTGGAAGCGTGTGACCCCGGCCCTGGGTCTGGCTCCTCATCTGTCCACGAGGGAAACTGACCAGAACTGACCTAAGAGGCCCCTTCCACAAGTCCCCTTCACTGCCTGAAACCCTGAGCCTGTGTGCCTCCCTCGTCCTTTATTCTCCTTCCTTTGTGTCATTTAGGGCCCTCAAGTACCCTAGTCAGGAACCAGGAATCCCCCAGGGCAGGATGGAGAGCCAAGATGGACCAGGGTGGACTTGGGAGAAGAAAACCACCCATTCAGGACTTGAGCTCCAATTGTAGAGTGGTTTCTAACTGGGACTGTAGAGAGAAGTGCACGCCACACACACAAACACACACACACACACACACACACACACACACACACAGCAAGACCTAACCTCAGGTAAGGAGACCGACTATTTCTTATTCTGAGTACTTGGCCTGCATTAACTAACTCAACCCACTCAACGCCCTTAGGAGACAGGCACTGTTTTGATCCCTATATTACAGATGAGCAAACTGGGGCACAGGAAAGTTAAGTGATCATCCAAGGATTCAACACTAACCACTAGCAGAGCTGGGATTCAAATTTAAATCATCTAGGTTTAGAGCTCATTCTTAACTTGAACCAGCAGGTCTCCTGGCCTGAGGTTAGGTCCTTTCTGACCCCCACACATCCCGTCATGCAGAAAGCCCCCCACACCCTGGAGCAGAAGCACTTCCACA